AAAAAAAAAAAAAAAGTGCATTTAATTGAGAATGCTAAGCATAGACAATGCTCGTTGATGTAGAAAATGAATATAAATATATAAAATTTAAATGTACACATATAGATATATGGGTATATATCTGTTTTTTTTTCTTACATATGTAGTTTTGGAAAAAAAAATGCAAAAAGAATGAAGAATTATAAGACCTCAGCAAAACAAGCAGCATATTCTTCGAACAAGGTATATCCATTACCACACATATAATCATAGCTGGCCTGCATTGCATAAATTGTACGACTTTCACAGACTATATTTTCTGTACAAGCCTAAACTTGAGAAAATAAAAAAACATAATTAAGATTTCTTACCTGTTTTATTATTACAATTTATAGTTTTTTTTTTTTTTTTTAGCAGAAAATCTTCTTCAACTTTTATTTACAAAAGAAAAAAATTAGATTTTTAATATCTTTGACTACTGTAACAGAATACAAAAGAAAAGAAATTCAAGTTTTGCTGAGCTGGCAGCACACCGATAATTTCTGTATATCAAATTATTACATTTGTTTTGTCATATCTTCTGAAATTAGCAATTAATTTTTACATAATTTATTTCTGAATTCTTTTCAAGAGTAAAGATAAATTTATGTGATAACGAAAAAAGTGGGGGAAAAAAAAAGTTAAAGCAAAGAAAAATAAATAACTAAAGCTTTCTTTTTCTTCTTCTTCTTCTTCTTCTTCTTCATCTCTTTTCAAATTTATTAGTCTAAAAAAGTTGAACAAATTGATTAACAGCGTTGTTCTTAGTTCAAAAAGTGTGAGATGTAAATCTGATTATGCAAAACAGCATTGTTAAGGCTGTTGAATTCGAGGCACATCGTCTTTTTATTCACATCTCGCTGCCGCATCTCCTTCCTTCGGTTTTTCCAACTTTCCCCTTCCCCGTTCTTCCCCTTCTCATCCTCGGTTTTCTTCTTCTCCTACTTTTTTTTTTCCCCCTTCCACTTTGCCTCCCCGTCTCCTTCACCAAATTTTCCACTCAACATAATCTATTCAACAATTTTCACGATCCATTTAACGGAGAGTGTCAACATTCAAGTACCTTGTTAACCAGAAAACTGTGGATGTTGTTCCATGTTCAACTTCCGTATTCAGCAATTTAACATCAATGAAGAAAAAAAAAAACAAAAATGCAAACAAAAAAAAAACTTTTTTTTAACAAAAAAATTTTTTTCCTTGTAGATTTTTTTTTTCTCAAAAAAATTCTGCTTAAAAGTTTTCATTAAGTTTTTTTTACCTTAAATTCTTGATAAATGGTACATAAACGTTTGAAAATATCGCTACCATGCCAGGCAAATTGCATTCCACCGTTATTCCGTTCAACACTGTCTGCAAATCGTAACATTGGCTGAAAATTAAAACTGTTAAAAGTCGTCAGTTTCAATTCTTTTATTATTACAGT